TTAAAATAGAGCTTATATTTTTCTGATTAGTGAACTGAATTGGAGGCCATGCTGTTTATGTTAAGAGTGTGGATGTAGTGATTTTCTGCCTTTCTGCTTTTGCCTTTCTGCATTTGAACTGAAAACACAAAATATTGTTTTTTTCACCCAGCTAATACCTGCAGCCAGCAGAATGGGAGAGAGAGGAGAGTGCATGCCATTTTACTATATTTGAAGTTTTAGTACACAGAAAATAAATTTTCTCCTCTCCTTTCAGCTAAAGGTATGCACTAAATAATTCTGCAAAAACAGAACAATGAAATGAAACTGTACTAATCAGGAAATCTAATGTTCAAGTTTCCTCCTTAGGGATACTTCTCTCATTACCCTCTCTCCTTCATTTTCCCTCTCTCCCTTGCTTCTCCAGGTGAAAATATGACTGTTGGGCCTTTTTTTCTCTAAAGTAACAAGACTGCCTTCATATCGTCTTATGTTCCCCAGCATTGCGGCTCTAGGCTTGCAACAAATAGTCTTCATCTATGTATCAGGATATCCAGGTGACAGAATAAGAGAAAGAGGAGTGTATCAGAAGGAGCCCTCCATGAGATTCTTTTTCCAGGTTAAAAATAATTATTGCACCATTATAGGTTTTCAGTTTTGAAAGAAATTAAGTGGAAGAATGCAGATGAAGAGATCAGTCTCAGGACATGAAGAGCAGAATAACAATAATATGAGATGGTCTTGGAAGAGTACAACATCTCAAAACGGCAGGGACCTCCTCTCAGAAAAATTAGTGGGAACGAAATCTTTGCTCAGTGACTTACTGGAGCCAAAATTGGGTTTTTTTTATTGGTGACTCTATGTAGCAAAACTGATCTGTCAGCAATGGCCAAGGGGTTCTTGGACCAGGCGAGAAAGGCAGGGGTATCAGAGGGGTTGTGGCACAGGGAAAGGTGTGGGGAAAGGTGGGAACTGCATTACTGGTGCTCTGGAGGATTTTTGAGGACTGAGTAGACAGTGGTGGGGAAGTTTTAAAGGGATAGACACTTTTTTTGCTCCTACAACTATCTCTCCTCCTCAGGACTACCTCTTTTTCTTCCTTCCCCTTCTCCCTGGAGGCAGGACACTAAAGTTCCTCACTCTCCAACATCACCATCTACACATATTTCGGTGCCTTCCGGACTGTCAAGGAGGGGTCAGTCTGGCTTTAGAGGAACAGGAATTAGGGCAGGACCAGGACAGAAAGTCAGAGAAAGCCTGCTGTGGCTGGAGGTAGAAAGGGCAGCTATGGACAAGAGAGGAAGTCTGGAGAAAGGAAGACTCTCCCTTGGTGGAGGAGGATCAGGTTAGAGATCATTCAGGCAAACTTGACACCCACAAGTCCGTGGGCCCCCATGGGATGCACCCATGAGTGCTAAGGAAGCTCACGGACGTCATTGCTAGGCCACTCTCCATCATCTTGGAAAGGTCCTGGAGATCAGGAGAGGTGCCTGAGGCCTGGAAGAAAGCCAATGTCACGCCAGTCTTCCAAAAGGGCGAGAAGGAGGAGCCAGGAAACTCCAGGCCTGTCAGCCTCCCCTCCATCCCTGGAAAGGTGATGGAACAGCTCCTCCTGGAGGTCCTCACTAAGCATCTGGAGGACAAGACGGTGATCAGGAGTAGTCAGCATGGATTCACCAGAGGGAAATCATGCTTGACCAATCTGATAGCCTTCTCGGATGCAATGACCGGCTGGGTAGACGAGGGCAGGGCAGTGGATGTTGTCTCCCTGGACTTGAGCAAGGCTTTTGACACTGTCTCCCATCACATCCTCGTAGGAAGTGAAACTCAGGAAGTGTGGGTTAGATGAGTGGACGGTGAGGTGGATTGAGAACTGGCTGGATGGCCGAGCTCAGAGGGTTGTGATCAGTGGCGCAGAGTCTGGTTGGAGGCCTGGAGCTAGTGGTGTCCCCCAGGGGTCAGTCCTGGGTCCAGTCTTGTTCAATATATTCATCAATGACCTGGAGGAAGGGACAGAGTGC